ATTTCTTTTCTTTGTGCTTTCCGAATTCGATCGAAATCACCTTGTCCTCTTTGTATGTAGATGCAAAATAAGGTGATTGGAAAACAGACGACTGCTAGTAGGATAATGAGAGCTTTTACACGAGGTTCGATTCTCTTCTTGGACCTCATAATGAGCAGTCTGTAGGAGCGAGTAAACGGACAGGATCTGTGTTCTGCCAATATTCAATACAAAGTCAAGGCTGAAAGGTATCAACATTCGGAAAGATGTGAATTTTCTTTCGAACATGAGTTAATGACAATTACTTGTGTATTGAATGATTTGAATGTTTCGACTCGAAATAGGTTATAAGATTGAATGAATCACACAAGTTTCAAAGCCTCGCGGCTGAATGTTGGGAGTTCTGATATAGGTATGTACGGGAAGCCTTAAAATGATTACTGAGCGAGATGATGTAGTTATGTGAGGATGTGGCACTGTGCATATTTACACGACCACAGCGAACCATCCCGATACTTAACGCAAGACAGACTGATACGAGGCAGAAACTGGGTGTCCAATGTCAAATATACATACCTAGTAGCTAAAAAAGAAACCAATAGGCAACGAATTCGAGTACTTCTCGGCTTGTTTAACGACTTAACGGCTGCTCGCTGGCAGCGAATATATGGTTGGAAACCCAGTATCAATCGCGAAAGGCAGGCTGGCTCGGCTGGGTAAAGGTTGTGCTAGTGGCTCACCAGGAGCAGGGGAGTTTGTATATAAGGAGCAGTTACAGGTTACTAACCCGGGTCTTCTCTCGATAACTACTCCCTCAAACTAATGAGGATGTACTTACGTGTCTCGTTTGGCATCGTTAAAGAAGAATAATTCTTTTGAATTGTCTTTGAATATTTCAGATATCGATTCGACGTTAAGTTTCAAGAGATAAAAGTAAATACCTTGTAGTTGGCTCTACGTAACCGAAAAAAGCGGCGGAAATTGACCATTATTCAAAAGAATTTCAACAACTAAAATCTCTTCTCGATATAATACTAAATAATAAGAACACTTAATAACAATACAAAAAAGACTCAAATTTTCATTCGATTTTTTCAAATTTTAATATTTGATTTGAAATGAATTTATAATCTATTAAAAAAGATCTTTGAAAGGGGATACTCAATTTGCGCCGCTTTTTTCGGTTACGTAGAGGTTGGTGTCCTACCTAGCTTTGCTAGCCCCGGCCTATGGAGATATGCAGGTGTGGCATAAAAGTAAACTATTGTGGCGGTGCATTGACCTCAGCCTTAAACTTTTCGAAGCTCTCAGTTCTATCTTAGAACCACAACAACCACATCCATCATAAAAATGGCCGAAGTCGAGATCACAAGTCCTCCAACCATGGCGCCGGTCACTGAAGCTCCGGAAGAAACTTCTGCAGCCCTTACCACTACAAACAATGAAGCAGGCGCACCCGCCGAGCGCAAAGTTAAGAAAATCATCCGTCGAAAAAAGCGTCCAGCGCGTCCCCAAGTCGATCCCTCGACGATGAAGAGCGAGCCTCCTCCACAAACTGGTACTATCTTTAATATCTGGTATAACAAATGGTCAGGAGGTGATCGGGAGGATAAATATCTATCTAAGACAGCTGCTGCGGGACGTTGCAACATTGCGAATGATACCGGATATACCAAAGCCGACAAAGTGACAGGTAGTTACTTCTGTTTATTCTTTGCAAGGGGGATCTGTCCAAAAGGTCAGGAATGTGAATATCTACATCGATTACCAGGAATTCATGATATGTTCAATCCAAACGTTGATGTATTTGGCCGCGATAAACACTCGGATTATAGAGACGATATGGGAGGTACAGGAAGTTTCATGAGGCAGAATAGGACGATTTATGTAGGAAGGATACATGCCAGTGATGATATTGAAGAGATTGTTGCGCGACATTTTGCCGAATGGGGCCAGGTCGAGAGAAGTAAGTTCTTTTCCTTCTCTCTCAAACAAGGCAATGAATATATGCTAATCTGTATTACTTAGTCCGAGTTCTAAATACGAGAGGTGTCGCTTTTATCACATATTCGAATGAGGCCAATGCGCAGTTTGCGAAAGAAGCAATGGCACATCAATCCTTAGACCACAATGAAATCCTAAACGTACGTTGGGCGACGGCCGATCCGAATCCGATGGCGCAAGCACGAGAGGTACGGAGAATAGAAGAGCAAGCTGCGGAAGCTGTTCGGAGGGCACTACCTGCAGAGTTTGTGGCTGAAATAGAGGGGCGCGACCCAGAAGCACGAAAACGTAAGAGGATAGAAGGAGGTTTTGGATTAGCAGGTTATGAGGCGCCTGATGACGTCTATTTTGCTAGAGGTGCCAATGCGGTAAATCCGGCGGGTAGACAGGGACTTGAGTTAGAAGAGGAGCAAAGACTCATGCTTGAAGCGGATGCCTACGAACAGACGGAACAGAAAGAAGAGAGTGGAGGTATATTTTCCAGTAGTACTTTGGCGGCACTAGAAAGTGCCAAGGGGTCAGTTGCGACGAAACCCAAACCCACAGCATCTGCAGGGCCATTAGTAGCTTATGATAGCGATAGTGATTAAATGGGGATTAATGGAGTTTAGGAGTCGGTCAACTATCGTAGTATGGTCATGTATACTGTATAATATTCGGTCGCTTAGAAGAGCCAAAATTATAGGAGCTTTGTCTCAGCTTTGAACGCAGAAGTCATAAGGGAATAAAATGGTAAAAATGTACCAATGTCCCGTGATTGGTTGTGTTCTCATGATGTCATCATGCAACCATCAGCTATTGAAAATTCTCGAATACAACATTTCATGCCTCCCAATCCATAGATCCATAACCGGTACACTTTGACCCGCATCCTCAACCTTGGTATTCCACTCCCTCTCAATGGCTTCTTTGATTCCTATTTGCACCTCCTCACTCGCCAAAACCTTCTGGGCATGATAGGGCCCAAACATACTGGCTCTCACCGCAGCTGAAAGCAGTGCTTTCACATGACTTAACATAAATACATAAGCTGTTTGTTCTAGACTCATTCCCACAGTTGATGTAATGGCGCCAAACAAAGGAGCAAGATGAGCTGATACGGGCGGTATTTCTCCAGATGTTGTTTTGGGTGCCGAAGATATAGATTTTAGCAGCATGGAGAATTCCTTCAATGTATGAACTCCATCATCTGGAGCGGAAGTAGTCAACCCTTTAGACAAAGCAGCGGAAAATGATCGGTCCCAGATAGATAATAAAGCTCTTCCCTGCGCAATCGAGGCACGTCTTCCCACAGTACACATGATCGATGCATCTTGAGCATCATCTAGATCAACCAGATCTCTAGGGTTCCGATGCGCAGCGAGTACGAATGGGAGGGTAGTAGATGCATAGGAAGATAGTGAGAAGGCTAGGAAATCCGGGAATGATGATCTGGGTTTTGTGTGCGCGAGATAGGACTCTAAACCGCTACTGAAGGCGAATGAACCGAGTGGGAGGGCGGAATCGGAGAGGAGGAGAAGGAAATGGTTAGACTGGGGAGAGAGAACTAGGGGTTGGTTAGAAAGCTTTTCATCCAAAGAGATGTGTATGTTCTCACCACTGTTGATAGCAATAGGATCTTTATCTTTCAATGACGGAGAGGATATAGCTCGAACGCTTAATCGGGCTCTTGCGGCTGCTAGTTTCCTCTCCAGTTCCTGAATCTCATCCTCAATATCCCGAGATTCATTCCCTATATCCTGAGACGTATTCTCTATATCCAGAGACTCCACTTGAAGACTCATTGGGATATCATTCCACTAAATAACATGTGTGGTTGAAGTGCGTGCCGATAGCCATATCAATTCGACAAATCAGATGTGGCTTTAACCTTAAGCATATTTTAAAGTGTGGCTGTGGCGGTGACTAGGCTATAAATCCAACGGATCCAACCGTTTGTCAATGTTTCATCTCTCGAACGACTTTCGAAAGTAATTCAAGAGAGCACTTCTAAGATCTGACTGATTTCAATTATTGGTCGAAATTAACGTAAAGCCTGGTTATATCTCACTCATACTAAATAGTCCTTATGGAACCTCATGTACACTCGCAGATTTTCATCTATTCTTAGCCCCCGTTCCTGCTCATATGGGAACCGGTGAGGCTGAATTTCTTATTTATGATATCCATAGGGTTTCGGCTTACCCAGAACACATCTGTCAAGTCCACGGTGTATTGATACATGGATCTAATCTTAGATGTATTTTGGGATGGTGGCCCAGCACAATTCCCCCATGTTTCGGAAATTTTGATGAGGACAGGATCCTCTCGCTGAGCATCCTCTCAAGCATTGCAGAGTTTCTTTGGCTCCCGTTTGAGCTATTGATGTTTTGCACTGGTGTTGTTTACTGTTGGGTGTGGATTATCTGAAATGTACTACAGCATAAATCACATGCATATTCGTCAAATTGGCGTGTGTTGTCTACCTATCCAACACGTACAACGTTGTCAGTGTAACGTCTTTGTTTCTCGGGTGTATATCTGCCAAGGCAGCACCCGTCAAAATTCGGACCACTCATCCAATTCGAGAACACTGTCAGAATTTGTTACACTTGATTTAGAGTCACACATGCACATCTTCATACTTCTAAGCGCTCAAACCAATTACACTGCAGCAAGATTCATTTCATGACTTGATATTGGACATCAATTTCGTCGATAGTTCACTGATTATGGGATAGTTCATGAAACACTGTGCCGCAATCCTCCAATGAGGCTTCTTGCTCGCTGTACAGGCTGTGTTCGTGGTGGCGGGGCTCTCCCTAGGAGATGTTTACCTTCCCTATGTTACTGAAATCTTATCCTCAACGACATGACAATCCCTGGTCTCAGCCTAGTGATCTTGACTCGCTTCCCTGCTAAACTTTGTGGAGCTTGACTATATAATACACAGTGTATTCAACCAAGTGGCCCTTAACCAATTCATATCTAAATATCTTGATACTCCAATATAATTAGCACCCTACACACAAGCCAACATGATTGTCACTTTAGCACTCCGTGTTCTCCAGGTAAGCCTTTCGCCCAATCTTGCGGCATAAAGACTGTCTAACTAACTCCCTTCAGATGCTGTTCGCAGCTGTTGTTCTAGCACTATCTGCAGTTTTGATTCATGGTTATGGTCCGGGTACTTCGTGGTCCCTTACATCTTATGGGTCTTTCTGTGGTGGAGCTGCTCTTATATTCGCTGCCATTGGGGTCGCTGCTTGTTTCGTGGAAGCTTTGCAAGGCATCATAATGCTTGCTCTTGATGGCATTGCATCTTTCTTTCTCCTTGCTGGTGGAATCGTTAGTTGTCATTTTCTTCACTTTATTTCAGCTCTTGCTAATAGAGTCCTTATCTAGGCATATGCCGCGACTATCAAGGTCGGCAGCTGTTCTGATTTGAATTATATTAAAGACCATCCCAATCCAATGTTCCCTGGTGGACACAAACAATATTCCGGTGATGTTGTCAAAGCTGTGGAGGACGACCTCAAGGCTAGATGCCAAGAAGTTCAAGCAAGCACGGCATTCATATGGTTCACAGCGGCTTGTTTTGTTGGAACAACTGCTATTCACTTCTTGAGCAGCAAACGTGGCGGCGGTGCTGCGAGCTACCCTTAGACTTCTCGAGGCGAAACATGCGACACAGACGCAGAACTGGGGCACATTCTAATGAAGAACATGAAGCTCTGGGAATATTCATACGAACGGCTTTTTTGTCTTTCGAACTTGGGTGTCGATATGTGTATCGGGGTATACAACAGTGATTTATCTTCACGAAATTTTTTTGTTGACGGAGGGGTAAACCTCATTCTTATTATCAAGTAAATAAACATTTTGCGAATACATTTTCTAAAAGTCAATTATTTCGAATCAAGTTTCTATATTTGTTTCTATCTCTTCTTAATAAATCGAATTCGTCTCAATCTTTCCTTATTAATAAATCCTATAGTAATTATTATATTATACGTATTATATTATCTAGATATATTCGTTATTATCTTTTTATATTTAAAAACAAAATTACAATCTTCATCTTTGTTATTTATAAAAAAGATTTATAAATACTAATTATAATATAGACTAGTATTTATATATTTTGTTTATATAATAATTACTATTAATGTTAATACTCTTTTTTTAGTTTTATTTCTCCTATAATAAGCTATATCAAAATACTAATTAGTGAATATCAGATTTAAAAAACATTTTAAGTTGAAAATCCTATACGAAGTACTATATTATAAATCTAATTTAAAGATAATTCTAAAAGTTTTATAATAGTATCTTTTGAATAATATAGTATACTTATTTAATATTTGTAATTTTCAATATATCTAGACTTCTTATATAAAATAGAGAATATTACTATTACGAAGTTATAAATATTGAGAGTAAGACTAGAAGATTAATCGATTTTCGATATTAATTCAAATCAGCTCGAGAATATCTTGAGAAGACTCTTATTACTTCTAAGTAATTACAAGGCAAATCTTCGCAATCTTTTCGTGAAAATATTGTTGTTATTATATAATTACACTATATCTTTGATATTAAGACCGGCTGTTATACTTCAAAGTTCCGTGTAATCATACTTTTTTTCTCCAGATGATTTTGCTTCTTTAACAACATTATTGAGGGCCTTGAGATGACTCCAATCTCTTGAGTCACCACCCAATTCCCACGCAAACACTCCACCGAAGCCTTTCTGTTCCATTACCATCTTGAACTTCCTAACAATTGCCTCCGGTGTCTCCCATGACCAAAATACACTTTCATCCTCGTCGAGAAAGTAATGGCCCTTGTGGCGTTCGTCGTACTGTCCCAGTGCCATAGCTCGCTTGAAGGATGTCTCAACTGAGGTTGAAGGGTTTTCCGTCCAAACAAATGCTCCAGACTTACCCAGATCGGCCCCCGTGTCGAGATCTTCCATTTGAACAGTAGGAAGACCTAATGGGCTGCGGATGGGTCCATGATGTTCTTCGAGTGGAATGATCTTGAACCACTTCGCATAGAAAGCAAACCCAAGGATTGCTTTGTGAGGAGGAACACCATTTTTGATATATCGATCCACCGCTTCAAGGGATCCTTCAATACCAGCGTGGTGTACGGTGACGTTGTCTCTGCGGTTCATCAAATCATAGGTCATAATATTGAAGAAATCTATATGTTGTACAAGTTTTCGAATATTGTCAGGACCAAATGCCATCATATCTCGATGCAGGCCAGGGACAGCAGCGGAGAGAATCTTTTCGGGGCCAATTGCAGATCGAAGTTCAGAAACGAGCTTTGAGAAAGCGTCAACTTCCCAAGTCTTAGCCGAGTTTGTAGTTCCAGGTTGCTTATAATCATCACCATTGCCACTATCAAATTGGTGTTAGCAATGAAATTATCTCCATGAGCTTGCAAGAATTCCCAAGTCGCCGAGAACTCTGCTTACCCTGGATATTCCCAATCAAGATCAACTCCTGTTAAAAATTAGATACTAGCTCCTGAGAAGGATTTGTTACATCTTGCCATCTGTATTGGTGATATGAAGTAGAGACTTGATGTTCTTCGCAAATGATTTGCGGCTCGTTTCATTTCTTGCCGCAATTCCAAATGACTCCGTATCACCCCATCCTCCCAGAGCCCATAATACCTTTACGTCTTTGGGGAACTGGGATCGGATGGCGCTGGTGTTCGTAAAGAATGGGTCCAAGGCTGAAGGGGATGGGGGCTCCGGGCTGATGAGCAAAGACGGGCTCACAAAGGCCAGGCACACGTGAGTTATCTCTGAAACCAAAGACGGCTCTGAAACAAAGTTGTGCTACGTATATGTTGGTCTGTGTACAAGATCTATCAATACCATGTCAAAGATCTTACCCAGGAGGCTAGGTATATGGAGTATATTGCGTTCGAAGACATAGCAGGGGCTGGTAATATTGTACCCGTTACTTGATGAGATTACAACTCATGAAAAAACGTTCTAGTCGTGAGGAAAAATTGAGAAGGAAGTAAAAGTAGAAGCAAAGTAATGAAAGTGGAAGTGAAAGTAATAAGGAATGGGAAAGGGAAGGCGAGAAAATTTTCTGGGGACCATACTTGAGAACGCCATATTCACTATTCACAGCTTGCGTGTGCGACCTCAATGTAAGCAATACTTATAAATATATAGAAAATGTATAATTCAAGTAGGAATTCAAAGAGTGGTGTAAATGACTTGCTATTCCTGTAAACATACCATGAAAGTAATGATTGGTCCTGAGCACGAAGCTCTATAACTAGGAAATTCAGTCCGACTATATTATCTTTCGTGTCGCTATTAGTAGTGTTTCGCCATCGGAATCCGAAATAGTATAGACAATAGCATTTCCCGTAATCAATACACGAGTCAGTATGATGATAATGATTGAACTTCTCTAAAATATTATCGTATGTAATATCAAAAGCTATATTACTAAAAGTATTCAATACTATTTAGTGGAATATCAAGATTACTAGTAATATATTAAAATACTAGAATTAATTACAATATATCTATTCCTTTTCAAATTAAACAATAGAATCTTATTATTTATTTCAAATTGAAATAAAATCCCTAGTCTCTAACCTAATATAAATAGGAATATATAAAAAGTGAATATTTTACATTAGATTTCGATATTCAGATATAAGAGTAATTATGAGAGTAATATAGGTATACTTCTTTTCAAACGCACTGACTACTATATTAATATATTAATACGCGCCATATTTTTATTACAGTGTACTTCAAGGTTGTCTATACTGATCCGAAATACTAGCATTAGATTGCTCTCTCGCTGCCTGGCATTCAAGCAATTGTGGAATTTGCTCCCTGAGTCTGGACCCAAAGCAACGCATGCGGATGACTTTTTGTTCTGTTGATTTTATAACCTAGACAACACAAAACTACATACTACCTGATGGTGAGAAGAGCCACGCTATAGTTTAGCCTTCAGCGTACCTTTTATTTTGATGAGTGTAATGTATTAGCCTCTAACACCGCACCCTTGAAATTTCGATCATTTAGATCATATGGGCATATGGATATGGATAAATCTTTGGAGGATTATAGAGACACCATGATGAAAGCCTTCAAAGAGCCTCTCTCACATCGAGATATCTCTGACATATGGGACAATCTGCGAGAACATCCTACAGACCTTTGCGGTGCAGGAAAATCGCCCATTACATGGAATGAAGTATGGAAGTCTTTAGTGGATGTGTATGGAGAATATTGTTTAAAGGAAGCAGTAAATGCAGCCACAAAAGCATGTAATAAAGGGGGCCATGCGCCAAAGCGAGATTCTACGCCTGAAATTCTGGTCCCACCGCAATATTGCGAGCAATACGTTGGGTTGACTACAGTACAACGAATGTATCCTGACAATGTTTTATTTAAATGAATTGTCAAAATGTGTCCAAAAGGAAGGAGGAGACTAATTGACACGCAGTTGCAGAGAGTGATTGACATCAGGTCAAATATGATAAGAGGTCAGGAACACAGCCGAAGAAAATATGTAATAGCTGCAACGTAGAATGTTCATTATTGCAAACAGCCCAATAGTGAATTTTAAAAGGGAAGATCCTAGTTACTATGAAGATGGTGGAGTAGCACCGGGGACACTTGAAGTAGTACCAATGTAATCCTGCAAGCATGTTAACATTATAATCCCTCTATTGTAAAAAAAAGTCTTACTTGAATGCTCGAGGCGTTTCCTGGTAGCTCCACTAAATCTTCGAATTGCCCAAGCATGGTAGCAAAATTGAATGCATATGGACTGCTGGAAAACCTGCCACGAAGGTCAACAATTGATTGGAGAGACATCTTCACCCTTGAAAGTTTTCGTTACTACCCTCTAATAAGAAGCAACTTACATTTGTCCAACTTCATCTGATAATATGTCAGACTTCTTCGTGATCTCGGTTCCAAAGCTCGTAGCTTTGAGACTATTTGAGAAGACGGGCTTAATTCCAATCTGCAAGGAGAATGGTGCTTTAGCTACCGGCTGTTCAACCAAGAAGACAAAGGTGAATTCTCGAGGGAGCCCAGTGCACTGCTGTTCGTTCTCTTCAAGTGACCAAAGAAGTTTGCTGCTCTGAATTCCTTCAACAGATCGAGTTGAACCCTGTATCTTTAACATGTTACCGATGACTTTTGATCTATCGTATTCAGTAGATGGGGTGACCGTTGCAGTTGCTGGCGTAGAGACCCCTAGAGTTGCACCTGAAAGCAAGTTAGAAGTGTTTCTTGGATGACCGAATTCAGATATCTCAATAGTCTAGGCTGCAACTAAACAATATCGACTTATTCATTGTTTAGTCTATCGCCGAGCCTGTCTAAAGAGGTTCATAGCGTTTCGGATTTGAACTGCAAACTGCGATTAAAGCTTACGTATCTCTTGCTGCTCGATCAAATCCATGTGGTCCTGATGTCATCAAAGTATAGTTTCACTACTGACCTAAGGAAAAAGTCCAGTGCAAGTTCTCCGTCGAATATCGACCAAAAGCAATATGTGGAGCATATTTGATAATCCTCAGCGGTTGATTTGTAGTCTTCTCCCCGATATTCTTAAAAGCTTGGATGCTAATCTGAGCTCTTTTGAATCTATACTCAACCGAGTGCATGGGATGAAAAACAAAAGTTATGGCTACAAAGGTAACGTTGTGTGGCGGAGGTCCATAGAGACTCAATCGTTTCTCCGCATCGTAGACTCCATGATGAAGGCGTGTGAGACTTGCAGACACGAATGCCTCCTCGTGATGGTATTCATGCTCAAGCAGAGATTTCTGGAAAACTTGGTAGCGGTGGTCAGGCAAATTAGGGTTGGCTTCTTGTTGGTGTTTGATGGCTACGGGATTGCCGTATGGGGAAGGCATCCCCGAAGAAGCATTTTCAGAGTTCTGAGGCATTGTGTTGAAATGAAGCAAAAGCGTGAGAGAGTGGAATTCAAAGTCAAGACAGGATAGTCTGGGAATGTCCTGAAATTTAATGTTTTGAATTCTCGGGCTAGCATGTGAAGTAATAAGTACCCTATATATTTGGTCCAGATGGTGTGTAACCAATACACAGAGTACATGCCTAGTAGTCTACCTAGCTGTGTGATGTACTTTGCTTTCCATCCAGGGGCAAGCGCCTATAGGTTACGATAACCTTGCACAAACATGGTAAACTCTGTATTTTCTCGACCAATGTAGTGAGTGGTCCACTAAGTACCATCATTTGCTGAAAGCAAGCACCACCGGGGCTTTCAATAGCCCGGACTGGACATCAACTTCGAAAGGTCTCCCATTTCCTGAACACAATTGAAACTTTCAAATTGTTTAAAAGATTGAATCCACCTCGAACATTGGGTTACTTTAGATATTGACACATCTTATCTGAACGTCTGTACAGTTTGACCACCCGAACACTGTTAAATGTTTGAGGCTGTGGCCTTTAGAGTAGCTGACATCGAAATCAGTATTTCAGTTTGCAGAAGCATGCAATTGAGATGTTAGACAACAATTTTGTGTTACTCGAAAGAATCCTCTAGTCGCCTTCAAGTCAAACTAAGACCATAGATGACAATGAAAAGATATAGATAGTGTAGATACTTTTAGAAGCATAGAAATCCGAATTACATTAGTTGGATGTGAGAGAAAAGTGTATCTCATATCAGTGATGTGATTTTTTTGTTCTACTTCACCAATTCGTACAGCATAATCAGAACCTCGGAGCCCGGCAAATTCCACCGAGCAACTTCAAAGCTATCAACACCACGAAATTCAGATATCTACACCAATAAATCTCATTATTTTGCGATGTCTTCCTCTGCCCCCCTCGAAATAGCATCTACAATCCAGAGCGCCTCAATAAAGCGCGATCCATCTCCCAACCATGACATAAATCCCACTACCGCCGCCTCCAGCAAAGAGCCCGTAACTGTTCATCCAGACTACGCATTCGATGATAGAGATAGTATCGATGGCGAGGAAGAAATAGAAGATATCCCCTACGATGTTATAAGACCATTGCCACGGCGTGCGAGTTTCCCACCAATACCCGATTTACGATTTGAGCAGAGTTATTTGGCTAGTATTGCACATGCGGATTCATATTGGAAGGTTGCTTTCATAACGATTAGAGATCAAGTGTGTTTTCCCCCCCAATATTTATCTATTCTTCATTTGAAGAATGCGGAACACGCAGGCTAATTCTTACACCTAGGTATGCATGCCACTCATTCAAGGCATTGCTGTAACCCTCCTCTGGGCTGGTTGGAAGCACTGGAACAAGAATGCCAAACTTAGTGGCAACAGTGCCGGCGCCCGAGTCCGTCGATGGTGGTACACGGTTAATAACTGGCCGATCAAGGAGAAGATAGCAGAGATCGGAAAGAATGCGAAATTGGCGGCGGAATTGGGGGATGTGAGTCCCCTCGCGATGCTTTATTAATTTTTCGTTGCTGATGGATTTGGGCAGTATTATAAGACTCAAGCTTCTGCTGGAGATTGAGCTGATGAATGATGAACGGGGTGTTTTGAGAAATGGAATTGCATTTGCATGGGCGGCGTTTGGGACAATCCAGTGAAAAATACTGGTTTAAATATTGAGATATTCAAGTAGACGGAACTACACATTGTGAGGATGCATTTGATATATTGGGATAGCAAAATAACTTGATGCATCATCTCATCACAACACTGTATCTATCTCTCTTCAAGTACCGGGCTCTTTTGAGGCCGATCGTGGTAGGATGGAGAAGACACATGTAGGCATAAAATTATCGTGCAATAGCTATGAGATTTTCTCCATTCTATCATGAGCTAAGAGTAGCATAAATACTTATGTTAATATGCCTCGGAAGATGACTATGTATATCGGAGAACATAAGTATACCCAATGATCAGCTTTAGTAGCTCCCATCCAAGCAAATCACCCTCCATTTATCTTTACGCCTTTTGTCAATATTACGCCTTTTTCCATACCCGCTATCATGATTAAAAATTACAACATTAAGACCCACCATAGCCGACATTGATTGATGGTGGCAGGGTGGAAGCTTTCTCAGGGCTACCACGGAAAGTGAGAGTAGGCGAGAGTTGAGTTTGAATTGGTTTCGTCGTGATGGAAATCGGCTTGGTTTTCTTATCGGCTTCGGTCGAAATAGCCTTCCCTTCACTGGTGACTTCCGTAGATGTAGGTGGGCTTGGATCCTGTCGAGGAGCCACGCTGTCCGAATTTGATTTAGACTGTGGACTTAGATGAAGTTTAATCGTAGTCTTCTGCTCCGGTGTTGGAGTTTTGACTGGGAGCTTGACAATTAAGCTCTTCTGCTCGTCTTCGTCATCCTCCATTTGTTCAATTCCATCGGTCTCCTCTGCAGGCTCATCTTCGATTTCCTCAACATCGCTTGCTAGAGATACTTGATCGTCGTCTTCCTCGTCATCGCCATAATCTTGCTCACTAGCATCCTCCTCCTCATCGTCGTCCATTTCGTCCACTGAGTTATATCCCTCAATGTGCTTTCCCTTAGAAGCCCAATCGCGACCGCGACTGGAAGCACCAGCACGGCGTGGCCTAGAAGTTACCTCTTCTGACTCTTCACCCAGTTCGACGTCTCCACGACTATCCGCAGCAGCATGCGTCCCACCGATAATGCTTTCACCATAAACTCCACCAACACGAGATCTGACCTGACGACCACTTAATGTAACAGTAGGCCCCGTTGGCTCAGCTGGGGTGTGGCTGCCAGTGTTTCGAGTAGAACGGCGGGATCCAGTAGTGTCAGAGAAGACCTCATCTTCATCGTCCGAGTACGTGTACTTCATGCGCTTTCCTCTGGTACGACCTTCATACATCGAGAAGTTTGGTTCAGGACGTTTAAATTGCTCTTTGCGAGCTTGTCGATATTCTCTTCTCTTTCGTTTCTGTAAAATGTTAGTCAATCTGAAAATAAGAAAGTACTGAGACTAGGAAGATCATACCTCTTCAGTCGCCTCGAAACGTGGAACTGCCGCAAGCATTTTCCCACTTAGTGTTCGGGCTTTTTGACCACCATCGTCCTTGACTAGTTTCTCTGCTAACAATTTCAACTCATCAATATCACTTGCAACGCTCCACCAAGTTCTCTTCAAGCCGGTATAGTTGCTCTCCCTGTAAACTCTAAAGTGTGTGTCGTCCAGACCTTCCACTAAATAGTAACGACGTCTGTCGGCATCTGATCCCCAAGGCTGTACAGAAAGTGGTTGGTTCAAATCATCTTCATGGCGAGTTTGCTTGTATGAGGCTGTAATCATACCCTTAACCACGTCGGAGGAGGCTAAGGACCAGAGTATGAGGGTACGTAGTAGAGTAAGCTATAATTTCAAATAAGTAAGGTTCAATCCTTCCGTAGACAATGGATAAGTGACCTACCCGCTCTGTAGGAGACATAGAAGTGAACGTTGCCCCTCCAGAAAGAGGGTTCTTGCTTTCCCAATCCTTCGCCCATTGTAGTTTATGTGTTTGAACGGCTTCCTCGAGAGCACGATTATAATGTCCAGCTCTGTGTTCGATAAGTGATTAGCCATTGATTCTGCAGAAACTTCGAAGTTATGCGAGCCACGGCACACATGTCGCAAATATGACCTACTTCACATCCTGCTTTCTATTTAAGAGAAGCCCCAATAATGCGCAGAGAAATTGCTCCGCATGCTCCCCAGGCGTAGTACCAACAACAGCGTGTTCCAATTCTTGGGGTCCAAAGTTGGGTAGAGATTTCGGGAATACTTCACTGAACCGGGCACGGAACATGACGATAAACTGCATAGAATCTGTGTTAGCGACCATTGAACACCGCAACCACGCGATTTGTACGTGTAAAATCCTCTAACACGCGACGATAAGAGTTATACGTACGGCGATATCTGGATTATCTGCCAGAACATATTCATGAGGTGGTGATGGTTCTCTCTTTGGTCGTGGTGGAGAAGTCTCAATTTTACGTGCAGCAGTTGGTTTTGGGGCTTTTGAGAAGAATTTAAGAATGCCATCTTTTTTTGTTAATTGTAAACTTTCGTCCTCAGATGGTACAGAGGAGAGATCCGAAGAGTCGTCAGAAGATGCCATGTTGTGGTTGAGTTGTGGTGTTCTGAGATTCTGAGATCCTAAGATTCTGAGGTTGTTTGATAAGAAGCTTTTTAGATGATGAAGTCAGAGGAAGCTCAAAGATATTGCCGACAAGCGCGACTTGAGATTTATTGGTCTAAGCATTCTGTCACGCACGTACAACACAAAGGGACGTCAGGCAAGCGGTGAATAAGGTACCAGCAGTCTTTCTATTAGTCCAATAGTACGATTCGATATTTCCGAGCATTCTTTGATACCACCTAACCCCATGTCGTATACCACGTTTTGTCTCTCCCCACGAAGTTCATTCCCTTTCCAACTTCCACCAACAATAACTGCTCAAATCCAAACTCAAGTATTGGCCTTTTTGCCCGCCCAACCATCGCACCTATCTGACGTATTATGGTCGGTAGGTAGTATCATCTTTAGTGACGCACGAAATTTCGCATCCAAAGGAACCCACAGCAATATCCATCCCTTTTACCTTATGTATTCCCCAATGCTCTATATTCAAGAAGACATTGGATTGTTGTTTGATGCATGGGATGGAAATTCGGCAATGCCATGTAAGGGAAAACCACCCACACTCGCTTACGAAGATACTCAATGGAAACAATTTTGGACTCACCTGGCTTGAATTTTTTTGAAGATATAAACATAGAGAAATTTGTTAAACATATAGTTACCGTACGGAATTCGTATACGATCGGATAACCCCTCCTTCACAATTGGCAATTGTATTTTCATATAAATATAGAAATATATACATAAAGAGATAATAGTTTGTATCCGACGAAGAATTATTGGAATTGATGGATTGGAAGTAATAATTAAGACGTCGAAAGCTAAGTTGTGATTGATCTTGCGCCCGAGGTTTAAGTGGTGACGAAAGTACCTGGACGGTCGAATATACAACTGCCCACAACTTAAATTCTGCAACGTCATATCTCTCTAGCTAAAGCCAAAGCCTGAACATATGAAGGCCATTTGATTGTTGAACTGATTTCAGACATTGAAAACGTGCCTGTGGTTGAAACGCGAACTTGGAGGAAAAGACACAAAATCTCCATGCCAGTCATAGTGCGTTAATCCCACGTATCTTGCGCGCATAACGCCCAGCCTCAAATTTAGGAAGAAACCGGACCTCTCAATTGTTCAAATAACTTGGGACTTTGAAAATGTGTCCACGGTAGTAGCTCGGAACTCGGATTGGTGAGGGAGACAACAAAATTTCCGCAAAACTCTAAGAATCGCAAATACAATGAGTACATGAAGTTCAAGCTGTACAACAGTACAATGGGCAGAAGTGATTCCCGATAGTTGAAATACTCTTGGACATTGAAAAGCCTGCTATCTGGTCGCGATTTGCGCACCCCGCAATTCCTCGCTGCGTAGGGCATATGGCTCACATGGCTTAGCTCTGCACCACCCATGCAATTCACCAACTTCAAAAATCCACACAGTCATGAGGTACTACACAATCACAACAAAAAGTGGCAATAATGAAGACATTTTGATAGAACGCTGGAGAATTTGAAGATCGCCTCAGAACACTATCCAAAGGCCCAGGAAATCCCCAATGAATCCACATGCTTGTAGATACCACCAACTAAAACGTGTGCAGTTCTTGAATCCATTAATGCGACATCAGTCTTAAATGATATATGATGTAGAACACAAGATGCAGCGATGAAGGGAAAAGTCAGTCAAGGTTGACACCAAGATAGTGATAACCCAACTCAAACAATGATACCAGTCCTCAATGTTTACCTTTAGTTGGTACATTGTACCGCCTTTCATTGTCGGGCCGCGATTCATGACATTGGAATTCATTTGTTGAGGTAGATTTTGGGTCAGTATCGACAGTCGTCAGTAGAAATATCCACTAGCGTATCCTTGTAACAGCAGCCTTAAATTATTCATCTCGAACTTCAGGCCACAACATCCATTCTTTTCGGGACTAGTGCGGTCGCTTATCATTTTTGGCAGGCACACACTCGAAATATTCGTTCCTTCCTCTATTGAAATGAAAGTTCTTGAACCTCTTCCCCGACACAATTCTCTCAAACCGTCGCGACAACTGCAAAAAGTAAGTTACAACTTCAATTTCTGCTTTGCAATCCCAAGACATCATAGATGAATTTTTCCAAGATCATTTTTCACTGTAAAATGAGATTGATCGCGCCCTTTTTCACCTGGCGCTCTCCCAATTGGACTCAGAATAACCTCATCCTTCGACAGCATGCTTTAGAAGTCTGCTAACATCTTGTAAAACAGTGGGTAGGGTGATTAGGAACCAAAGAAAGGGCCGTGGCTCGATATTCACAGCCAACACCAGATTGAACAAGGCACCAGCTCAGTTCAGAACTCTCGACTATGCTGAGAGACACGGTTACGTCCGTGGTGTCGTAAAGGACATCATCCACGACCCAGGACGTGGTGCTCCTCTCGCCAAGGTTGTCTTCCGCGATCCATACAGATTCAAGCTCCACACCGAGACTTTCATCGCCAACGAAGGAATGTACACCGGTCAATTCATCTACGCTGGAAAGAACGCCAATCTCACAGTCGGAAACGTTCTCCCTCTCGGATCTGTTCCAGAAGGTACCGTTATCTCCAACGTTGAGGAGAAGGCAGGCGACCGTGGTGCGTTGGGACGTACCTCTGGTAACTATGTTACTGTTATCGGACACAACCCTGATGAGGGCAAGACCCGTGTCAAGCTTCCATCCGGTGCCAAGAAGGTCATTAAGAGCAGTGCCCGTGGAATGATCGGTATCGTTGCTGGTGGTGGAAGAACCGACAAACCTCTCTTGAGTACGTTTTGAAAGGCCCAATCGACAATAAATGACATGGAAAGTTTGGTATACTGATAATTCATACAGAGGCATCCCGTGCTAAGCACAAGTTCGCCGTCAAGCGTAACTCCTGGCCAAAGACTCGTGGTGTTGCCATGAACCCTGTTGACCATCCTCACGGAGTATGTAAAATTAACCATTTATGCCAGAATCAAGCGCTAATAAGAAATAGGGTGGTAACCATCAACATATTGGTAAAGCATCCACAATCTCAAGATACGCTGCACAAGGTCAAAAGGCTGGTCTCATTGCTGCGAGAAGAACTGGTCTGTTACGTGGTACCCAAAAGGTCAAGGATTGAGCGAGTTGAGGGGATTTTCATTGCTTCGGATATGTTGGGCCTGCATCTTTGTAATTTGGGATGGATCTCAACGAGGATGACAGAAAAGAATTCTACCAAACAATCTTGTGTGCTCTGGCATGATTTACTAGTGATCTGGAGATCTTGATAGCATGTTAACAGGCACTAAACAAAATGAATTGATGGCTTTTCTACCAACTTGAATCCAAAAAAATTGAACCTCTTAATCTCCAATGACTGGATTATCATTTCACAAGGGCATACGTTTATTCTGTGATTTTAAGCACCCTTACATATTTTGTGAACTGTGGGAACAATACTTCTTGGCTCCATTATGACCTACTTAAGAAGATTGGTTCCTCGCAGTGGGCCTTTGTTTCTCGGAAGCCAAGCCCAATTTCAGCCCCACCATATCTTTCTTCACCACGCCGTAACCCCGCCATTAAAATATAACAACTTAAAATATACCATCAGAGCTATAGTAACGATGTCTGGAACTAAAGAATACGCCCTCCTTTGCTTGGAGAACCCATTGCTTGGTAAGTAGAGTTATAACCTCAAGCATTCCTTAATGTCTCACTCTTGGACGCACAATCAACATGTAGAGCTCTCAATAGCTTCGAAGTAGCAAATTTCGAGGCTCGAGTTCATCATTCTCAAGGGAGAAAGCTATCTCCATTTAAGCTTCCAAACTGAGTCTGCTAATACACCTATTTAACTCAAACTAACTCCGCCATTCAGATATCCAAGCCCAGGGAAACCAAGCCCTTCTCGACAAATACGGCCTCAAGCCCAACGATGCCATCCTCGCTGAAGAGAAACACGCCGGCATCTACGAAGATCTCCTCAACAACTACTCCGCCAAATTGATTGCCGGAGGTGGAGCCCAAAACACTGCTCGTGGAGCCCAATACATTCTCCCTCCCAACAGCGTTGTATTCCTTGGCGGAGTCGGCGACGACAAATATGCCGCCATCTTGCACGATGCTGTCAAGACCGCCGGTCTCCGTGTTGAATACCGTGTTGACAAAACTCAACCCACCGGACGCTGTGGTGTTGTGATCACTGACCACAACCGATCTATGTGTACCGATTTGGGCGCTGCCAATCACTACGATTTGGAACATTTGAAGTCCCCCGAGGTCTGGAAGTTGGTTGAGAATGCTACACACTACTTTGTTGGTGGATACCATTTGACCGTCTGCCCACCAGCTATTCAAGCTCTCGCTGAAGAGGCTGCCAAGAACAACAAGGCATTTGTCTTTTCCCTCTCTGCACCATTCATTTCTCAGTTCTTCAAGGAGCCTCTTGATGCTACTGCTCCTTACTGGGATTATGTAATTGGTAATGAGACTGAGGCTTTGGCCTGGGCTGAAAGCCATGGTGTTGAATCCAAGGACATCAAGGAGATTGCTAAGGCATTGGCTGCTTTGCCAAAGGAGAACAAGAAGAGAGAGAGAGTTGCTATTATCACACAAGGAACTCTTCCTACCGTTGTAGCTGTCAACGGACAAGATGTTAAGGAATACCCTGTCCATGCCATCGACAAGAACTTGATCAACGATACCACTGGTGCAGGAGATGCTTTCGCCGCTGGCTTTACTGCTGGTTTGGTTGCTGGACAATCCCTCGATCAATGCGTTGATCAAGGACAATGGTTGGCTAAGTTGAGCATTCAGGAGTTGGGTCCTTCGTAAGTCTTTCATAAATTTCACACATGCACATTACATTGGTCAAAACTCGGTGTACAATTTCATCAAATTGTCTACATTACAGACTAACGATATTTGCAGATTCCCCTTCCCTAAGCAGACTTACAAGCCCACCAGCCAATAGATACCTATAAGCTATTCCTCATTCTGATTCTAGACGGCGTTCGGGTGATGGTTTCAACAACAGGAGCGTCTACAATCGAAATGATGTAGTGCATGATGCATTGACTTTACGATCCTCCACGATCAATTCATAGAGCTAGCGTGTTTTTTAGAAACCCAATAAAAAGTTATTTACTGATATCTGCTTTTCGCTCTCGGTTACAGCTTCTGACTGTGATCTTCTTACAATGTGTCAATGACATCTGTCTGGTGATGATTGCTGATGATTCTTGTTGATAACCTGGACTGTGTAAGAGTGAAAACATCTTACTGGTTAGTGACGACAGACGCAAGACGGGTATCGGATGAAGATGTGGATGATGACGATATTAGATTGGTGGGTTATGATGAACCTTCAATGATTCATGATAATGAATTGAACTCAGCCTCGGTGACCTTGTCCAGCGGGGGGTGTATTGTTGTAATTGTCATTCTCAGTTTGACTGTTCCAGATTGAGCTCTGTAACATAGTACCTCGATCAAATTCGCTAGCACCAGTATAGATACTACTATCATGGCTATTATAGGATGGGCGACCCAAGGTTCTACCGTAGTATGCCTTTGGTGGCGAGTTGTTCCCATAGATGCTGCTATTTGTTGAAAACCCCGATGATGAGATTGACATAGGTCCGAACTGTTTCGTCAATGACTCCTGCAACATTTGGTTGACTGGCGTGGAGGCATTAGAAGATGAGAATTGGTTCCTTGCATTATTCGCAACACCATTTGTGCCTCGTTGTTGCATTCCAGTCATGTTGTCGAGGGCCGCGACAGCAGCAAGTTGGTCTTTACTGGTTGAGTAATTCATTGATGAAAATCCACCAGAGCTTGATGACTTTTCGGGACTGATGGGTCGAAGCTCATTAGGCTTGGGTGTGAAGGGCGAGCCCCAGATTCCAGGTAGACTTGGAAAGCCTTTGGTGGGTGTTATATGGTTACTTGCCAATGGACGTGTTCTTTCAGAGCCAATAGGCGCAAATACCGCATTTGCAGTAGAGCTGCTCATACCATAAGATGTATCTTCGCTAGGAGCAAGACTTGCAGGCTCGAGTAAATCGTCTACCATACGATTCATTTCATTATCCATAATGCCCAAGGAGTCCGATACTACAACCACCTCGTTGCTGGTGTTCGTGTCATTCTGCACAGCGTAAGTGGATTTAGCTGGCTGACTTGGTGTTGCAGAGCCATTTGAAGGGGGTACGATAGTGCTTTCGGTACCATAGACAAATCTGCTATCATCGGTCATCATAATTGGACACGGTTTTTCAAAATGGAGAGCCATGCCAGCTCGTAAGATATCCCGGATACGAGCATAGTTCTCGTTGTGGGATTGTCGAATGATACCGTCGGAGATACGAGCTTTCAAAAAGCCATCATCTTTATTGTAGAGACTGTATTCTTCCAAACCATCTGGCAAATCCCGGAGAGGCTTAAAACCGAGTGTCTGTTCGTCTTCAGGCAACAAATACGAAAGATAAGGAAGCGATGCGACAGGAAAGAACCCGACGAGGGCGGAAAGTGCATCTGCAGCGGTCTTCCACATTCTCTGAATATGACCAATTAATGGACCTGTAGACTCCCGGTCGACTCCATCTCCAAGGCCGACAAGAAGGAGACGTTGAGAGATAATCCAAGCGAAATATTGTCGAATGGTGGGGAGGACTCTAATTGCGACTGGGCTGAGCTTTTCGAAGGAATCGCCAGATGAATCTGTGGCGGTCAAAGACTCCAGGTTTTCTGCTTCGGCTGCATCGGCAAGCTCTGAGATAAGTGCTTGTAGCAGGACGCAGAATACCTGAAGATTGAAGCCAAGAAGGAAATAAAAAGACTTTTTGAGGTCATCGGTTACACCACCCTCTGCTTCTACATATCATGTCAAAATCTCTACGTGGAAAATTAACATCAAGATAAGAGGGATCAACTTACCTGTAAGCCTCTGGGTTGCCAGATAATTTGCAGCCATATTGATTAGCACCAACTTGTTTAGAGTTTCCTCAAAAGAGTGATCTTTCAAAGCCGAGACCAATTGACCCAAAACTTCATTCTCTAATTCTCCTTGCGTAGAAAACTCCACACCCTTGTAAAATCTTGCATGTAGTCTCACGAACCAAATGACAAGAGCAGACTCGACGGGCGCTGGGCGACGTCTACTCTGCCTTTCTTTCTCCCAACTAGTAGATATTTTTTTGTACTCAATAGCCAAGTTTCCACGAGCCAATGTATGGGGTTCCTTGACAGCAACTGCACGTAACAAATGGTATAATGCATCGAGATGACTGCCGTCGGCGAGAGCAATGACCGCCATCTGGTTGTGGGCATTGCCGGAATCGGGATAAAGAGCTTCAGCTAGAGAATAATACCCTAGGGCAGGGTCCCAGCTGCGCTCTTTAGTTCTTAAGTCATTTCGATATCTACTCAAGTCTCCGAGACGAAGTAGGGTGAAGTGGCAGGAAAGCTTAAGCAGATGTTCAAGGGTTCTGCCAACTTTGATAGGCTTGTCCACAGACAGCGGGCTCAAAGAAAGACGGTTTGCGATGCGTTGCAATGCAGGAAGAGGACCAAAGTGAGAAGCAACACGCTGGATGTATCCCTTGTAGAAAAACTGACTCTCTTTAAGGAAATCAACATAGTGCTTCTCTAGCTTTCGGCGCTCCACAGCACGGCGTCTCTGATCGGCGGAACGGTAATGAGCGACAAGCTTTCGATATCGGGAATTAATCAGACTATGCGAGTCCCAGAGACGGTGTTGTACACGCTGCTTAGTAGCATATTCGAAGTCGCCAAAGATAACTGCTTCACAAGCAATGCGCAACCTGACATGATTAGAGTACTGCGATAAGACAAGAATACAATAACGGACTGTGTGAGAAGATGTTGAATATCTTCAAATGTAGGGGAGTCTTTATTCAGCTGCGACTGTAACTCCTTTTCAATCTTTTGTGCAACGCTGAGGAGACGAAAGTTAGCATGAATCGGCGGCACAATATTTGCGACTGCGACAATAGGAACTTACAGCCAGTTTTGTTGAATTGAAGATTTATCCATAGCTAAAGTTCCTCGGGAGATTATACAGAACCCCAAGGTCGACTTATTGTTAGGTTGATATTTGTCTTCCTGCACAAGAATAATGGTTGTAGGAGTTGGCCATGGAGTCTGGTGGGAAAATAAATGTGAGGGAAGATCACAAAATGGAAGTTTGGGGAATCTGCCAAAAAATCAAGGTGAATACAAATTCGATGAAATATAATTCACTATTCGATTATCGTTTCAAGGAATCAAGCAAGATTGAAATGACAAAAAGACTTTATGGTCTTTCTGAGCCTTATGCTTATGAGAATACATGAGGAGAATGAGGGGAAGGAATCGATGATGAGTTATGATTGAAGTGATGCTCCAGTATCCTTCCTACTGGTAACGATTTCCCTTATTTTTCTGCCGTATTCCTTTTTGTACACCGCCTTATATTTCCGCCAAGACAACCTCGCAACTTTTAACCATACAATAATAGATACTACGCGACCTTCCAGTATGTCAGAGGTTCCCACATGGCATATCACAACACAAGCAATCTGTTGTCACAAAAAAAAGCAATAATACTCAGCTATTATATTGGGACATTGTTGCACCACATATTACTCAGAGATAGCAGCCTTCTTTTTCCAACTCCCAGGTGTCATTCTTCAACTCTCTAAACTCACTTATTCTCATCGATTAGCTTCGATATCTTAACCGTAGGTGGGTGAGGATATATCAATCATCGAAGGTAAAGAAGAGAATTTGAAGCAGAGGAACATCTACTCTTCAATAATAAGAGTAATTACCCCGCATCTTATAACACTCTTCTCATTTTCTTTCATCTTGTTACACAATGACAAAACGTTTACGAGATGAAGAGTTTGATGATCCTTCTTCTCCAGATTCAGAGATTATAGAGACTCCCAATCCATCCGACACACAGGAAACCCAAGCTACCTCAAATTCTACACCCCAAGCCTCCTCCAAACTTGTTCACCTTGGTGAGGAGACCGGTGAAGCTCCTACAGTAATGCGGTGCTCTTTGCCAGGTCATCAGCGAACATTATCCTTCCCTTCATTCGATGACTATGAAGTACACTATAAAAAGTCTCACATGAACAGATGTTTGGAATGTCGTAAGAACCTTCCTTCGGAACATTTCCTCAATCTTCACATTGAGGAAAATCATGATGCGTTGGTTAGTGTTAGGAAAGACCGAGGAGAAAAGATTGTAAGATAATCCCTAAGCGTGTATAGCCTGTAGCTACTGATTCTTTAATAGTATTCTTGTTTTGTTGAGGACTGTGATAGGAAATGCTCAACTCCTCAGAAGAGACGTATGCATCTCATTGATAAACATATGTTCCCTCAGCAGTATGACTTCTTCGTTGTGAATGATGGTATTGATCATAAAAGCTCCATGCTTAGATCAGGACGCCATGGACATCGAAGACACAGCTCGGCAGCAAAAACGAAAGTTGAAGAGGTTAGGCAACGTGCCGCCACTGCTGAGCCAACTTTGAACAATCAAGGCATCAACCAAGAACCTACTGGTGGATCCGGCGTCCCCCCAGCGCAGACAGAAGATGATGCCATGGAAGTATCTGAGACGGCTGCGTCAGTTCTTGAGCCAGAAGATGATCAGATGAAAGGTTTAGAAACAGCCATGTCATCACTGAGATTTGTTCCGAGTAGTGTTAGATTCGGCAGGGGGCGTGGAAGGGGAAGGGGATTCAGCAAAGCCTGATGTGATATGGATTTACGATTTTATGATATTATGAGAATCAAGAAAGTCTAGCACGAGCAACTTACTCATATGATTTAACTTGTGACTTTCGTATTGATTGCAACATACAGTTGAGCATCTCCATAAAGCATCGAACACTTTGACAACCAAGAAAGTTTATATTGGCACGAATACCTGTTTTACCTATGTGATTGTACTCGTGACTTATTACACACTGACCCACAACATATGGCTGAGTATCTCTTCAACATACGGGCATTAAACTTCATACCTAAGTCTGGTCATAGTACGGTAGCAATGATAACTATTTCAATGAAGTTGATTTGTAAAGGGTTGCTGAATATCTAGATCCGCAAATATGCATACAGCATTTGGTTATCTGGAGATAAATGTATGGAAAGAGTGGGTAGAATACGTCATCATGTGCCTCACATCACTTACTGTTATGTTAAGGAGATGCATAGGATCATGTTGAATAAAAATCAATTCATATTGGGTATCTGTATCCAAAGTATCCTCTATCCAGCTCCGAAACGCCAACGTCAATATTTACAATGCCCATATCATCTTGCGGCATTAGAACAAACTCATACGAGCCCCCCAACTATCTGCTCTGGGGTTTATAGTAATCTGATAGGGAAATGGATTTGCCTCGCTCGTGGTAATAGGCGGTATATGATCTTTCTCCATATTGACTGTTGTTACGATCTTCATTGCCGCTTTCAGTAACATTGCCTCCATCGCATTTCTAACTTTTGCCCGTTCTGTAGAGCGCCGTGTGAGCCAGCCGTAACCATATAATGGAGCATTCGAATATCCTTACCACTTTCTGTTCGCGGAGTAGCCAATGTAACATCCAAAGTCCACTGTTCCCAACATACCTCCTCCTCCTGTGTTGTCCAAGTTAGCAAGGAGATACTTTGAATAGGGAGAATGCGACCCGGATGATCGGAATTGGATTCCAGAATCAACATACGCCTTTCGTGAACCAAGCCTTTCTTCGTTTCTTCTCAAAAAATTGAACAGCCATTTGTCCTCTCACGCCAGTATTTCTCGCGCCCGTTTCCGAAGTGGTGTCTAGTTGCCGCACCAGAGCAGCGGTCCTTTGATCGATAAGTGTTTCAATTTCAACATTCTCAATATATGGCAGAGTCATGTCCAAGACATCGCGAGACTTTGGTTTAATAGAAGGGAAGAAACGTTGGAAGAAAATGGTATGTAGAATGCCTATATAGGAGTCGAGTTAGCAGGCGCATGAAAGTAACAAGTCATGTCGACGAAGGTAAGAAAACACCGTTTCTACTTGCCTCTAATGACCTCTTTCACCGAGGTAGGGTCCGCAAACACCTCAATAATATACTCTGGCGGTCTGCGCTGGTCCATTGCCACTATTCAATCTTCTCATTTGTGTTCGTGTTTGTTGTTTCCAGAGTTCGATCGTGCTCCTTATAAAAGCTTTGCACTTTAAGCTTTGGTCGTTTTGGCCTTTGTGCATTTACATGGAGGGGTAAGGAGTTATGCAATAGATGCAATAGTGTACGGAGTAAACTCGAATGCTTATCGGTACATGTATATCAATGGGTCTGTCAGCCGAGTTGTGGCTGGCACGGCTGGCAAATTACCATCCTCGGCCTTCAGAGACAACAAAGGGAGCTTTCCTCACATTTCAAGGTTCCTGAGGGAAATCTTATAATTAAAACTTTATCATTTCAGCATTCAATATTATTTCATTTTCTTCACACTTTCAAGCTTTTAAACAATCATCCTTCAACGTTATGTGATTGTAGTCTGATTCTTTTTCTTTAAAAGAACAAAATCATGAATTCCCTTCGCAAATGGGCAAGGAGGAATAGAACTCCCCTTGCGATTGGTTTCGGAGTGATTGGTGTAGGCTATGTAGCTACTCAGTACGTGCTAGGAAAGATTCATGATGCTCGACAACGTATGAGTAGTGATCGTATAGCTCGAGAGAAGTAAAGTTTGATACCCACCGAGATAGTGACTTATGCTTATCCACTTATTCTTAGTCTTCGACGTCGGTTTGAACAAAATCAAGAGGACTGTACTTACACCGTCTTGGCCCTCCTGCCCACCGCCACCGAGAACATTCTTGCAGAATTGAGAACGGAGAGAATCACCGACGAGTTGCAACAACAAAAAGCTGCGAAGCAGGCACGAAATGGAGCCGACCGTCGATCAGATTGGGGTTCCAGTCCTCCTAGTATTACCGATGACGATGGCAGAAGCATGGTGAGTTTTAGTGATAGTGGAATGCATATAAGCCAACTCGGAATACCTTCAGGATTAGAGTTGGGTGTTGATGGAGCACAAGATGGAGGACAACAAGGAGAACAGCAAGCACAAAAGATCAAAAGGTCGAAGATGCAATTATGGAATGATCTTAAGATTAGCTGTAAGCTAATTGAGGTTCGATTTTACATTCGTTGCTAATATCTGCTAGCTATCACGCGATCATTCACTTTGATATACACACTCTCTCTTCTCACACTACTCACACGGATTCAACTTAATCTCCTAGGACGTCGCAGTTATCTTTCGAGTGTAGTCTCGCTAGCTACTGGCGGCGTGGAGCAATCAACAATAAGCTTGGAAAACAACGATGATGACAATTCAGATCAAGCTTATGGAAACGACTTCGAGACGAATAGACGATATCTGACCTTCAGCTGGTGGCTACTTCACAGAGGGTGGAGAGATGTTATGTTCAAGGTTGAAGCTGCGGTAAAAGAAGTGTTCAAGGATACTTCTATTAGAGAAGAGCTCACCATGGCTAAGTTCTCTGAATTGACGCTTGAGGTCCGTAAAAAGGTAGAAGGAGCCACTCCCGAAGACAGGCAGGCTACTCGCTGGTTACAGTACCTCTTGCCCCCTCGAGACCAAGAGGATTTCGTCATCAAAGAATCCGGCATGAAAACTATGGAGCCTGAGACACCTTCATCATCCCCCGTGTCACCATTAAGACGACTCCTTGATGAAACCTCGGATCTTATTGATTCTCCACCATTCTCCCACGTTCTGACTATGCTCCTTGATGCCGGTTTCTCAACTCTTGTTGAACAAAAGATCGCTCAACAAAGCTTCAAGATTCCGTCTCAACCTGAAGATGCTCGTGTTACTGAAATCGTTGAGCCAAACGCGGTAAAGCTTCCATTGATTTTAGCTGTGCTTACCAGACAGGCTCATTCCATTGGAAATGGTGTGCCCAATGAATACCTCCAAGCCATGGAGCAGGTTAGGGAATTAGAGGCTTTTGCCGCCGTGGTTTACTCTAGTCACGAGAATGAGATTAATCCGATCGATGATTTTGGGAGTGCCGTGTTAGTGCCAAGGAATGACTTGGGCGAATCTGAAATGACCTCTGTGGCTTCGCATGGCCAAGATAGTCTTATTGACGTGGGAACTGCTAGCAGATTTGAAAGTGCGTGGGGGAAAGCGGTAGACCCCGCGGACAAAGTAGCATCTTTGTAGATTGGATCTAGGCGAGAGTTATACAAAGTCGAGGGAATTTTTGGAATATGGGAATCATTATTGGGCAAGGTTGCGGGAAATTCATTGAGGCGAAAGAAGAAACGAGTCATGTAAAAGATACCAAAATAATGGCATAATTGTATCATCCTTTAAACCTTTGAGAGCTGCATCGTCTGTTCTATCCGGCTTGGCCCACTTTGATTTACATGTTATGATTTGATCTTCAAAGTCCAGGATACAAAGAACCTTGAATAGGAGATCGTTTGATTTGTCGAATCCACCCTAGACAATGAAGAGTGAAGTGAGACATATCGTGGAAACCATTTGATTATCAAATCTAAACCCAGTCGGCTTCAATGATGTTATCTAGCCAACCCAGAACTGGGTGTTCAGGCGTTTTGACTTCCTCGATTTCTCAGGTCGGCTCCTATTTCAACTCCCCGTTCTACTAATATGCCCCCTTTAACCTCGACTCCAATAACCCCCAAACGCCTCAACCTGCAGCTATGTTCTATTGTATTACATTCCAAAATTAAATGCTGTGCGACATTGAATATCCACTGCGTGTAAATCATCAAGTTCGTAACGCGCATTATACATCAAAGAACGCCTTTAACGAATTGGTCAAGGGCCAGCTCGAAGAGCTCGTTTGCAACTCCTTCGCCTCCAGAGTGCTCGACAGGAGACAGCGGGTTCTTGACAACTGCGAAGTATCAGCACATTGTATTAAGGATAATGGGGAGGGCCATACCAAATTCCACATAAAGATTGACATATATCTGATGTAGCACCTGCCTCATAGTTGGAGTTTGTGTGTCGGTAAGCATCACGAACTTGATATTCGTTGGCGTCTCATAGTAATGTAACTTATACTGAGCCGTTCGAAACGATATGAAGCTATCATCCGGTCCTCCTAACTTTCTCACCATATTCCGCAGCGAGAATATAGTTCCAAATATCAATTTCGCATCGTCTTGCGCGCTCAACTTCCCGGGGCGACTCTTCGGCACGGCAAGTTCTGGAACATTGAGAGGAGGTACGGCGCTGGAGTTGCTGGAGCCGGAAATGGGTCGCGCAGTTGCGCCGGTGGTGGAGAGGGGTCGGTCATTATTGCGGTGCCAGAGTTTGGAATAGATGCATTCGGCTGAGGAATATGATTTAGTGTCAATTGCAAATTCCAAGACGTGTATTGACTTACTATGCCTATCGAATATGTAAAAGGAATAAACGACCATGGTGAGAGTGTAGATGTAGTCTGAAGTATTTCTGAATGTTGATATTCTCTTGGGACACTTTCGGCCTCGTCTCTTATTATTATTGACAAGGCTTCGTCGATATGTACTCTGTATGGAATGTATTATGTATTATGTACGGTAAGGGTGGTTCAACGTTGAATAGTACCTAGTAGGCCTTAATTTGGCACCAGGTTCGAAATTAACATGATAGACTAATAGTACAGGCTAAAGGCACGCTATCAAATTAAGCTTTTATCAAGCTAAGCAAGCCTGACGCCTCTAATCCCAGAGATCGGCCGACCCCTTGACCAAAGTTCCTCATTCGTCAAAGTAATTTTTGGTAGCCTTACGGTTCTGTTCAATCTTACTCTTCTTCCCCCCCCTTCCATCCAAATACCTCTTCTCTTTGTCTTTTCTTTTGCTCGACCTTCAACATAGCTGGCCTTTGGGATATGAAGGGAGATATTTAACTTCTACAAAAAATGTCTTCATTCGCTGGCGATTGTGAAAACCCAGGTCATCCGGGTGATATTACCCAGAAAGAGGCTGATGCGGGCATTCTTCCTTCTCATGGTAAGTGAAGGCTTTCAACCTCGCGACCACAAGTACCAATACTCTTGATAGTGTAAACCGACTTACCTCCTTCATAGGCATTTCTCTCGATATACCCGGCGAATTAGTTGATGGTCGCCCACCTTTGGTACAATACCTGTAAATCGCCTCCAAATGACCCCTCCTTATCTTTATCTCCCGCTAATGGATCTTCAAGTTCCACCCCCGCATATCAAAGTCCTCTTCGACATCACCGTCGCAGTGCCTCTGCACACCGGCAGGTAAAGGTTAGGCCCAAGTCTCACAATCTGGATATTCGCATTTAGAAATATGCTGATTGCAAAAGGAAACGCTTGATGCAAGATCCGAATACATGAATAATGAAGAAGATGGGAGAGCCGAACATCATATTAATCAATATATTATCAAAGATGAAATTGGCAGGGGCTCTTTTGGGGCTGTTCATCTAGCGGTGGATCAGTACGGAACGGAATTTGTAAGGGCTTCTGTCCTAAGCCATTGATCATTGGTTTAATATTGGGTACATAGGCAGTCAAAGAGTTCTCCAAATCAAGGTTACGGAAAAGAGCACAATCGAATATCCTTCGAAGGCCACATTATGTCAGACGACCCGGAAATCTCGCAGCAGGGAGCGGTTTCAATTCCCCTCTTCATCGCCATTCGGCATCCGACATCCATATCAATGAGCAACGGGGAAATCCTTTGTATCTCATTAAAGAGGAGATCGCTATCATGAAAAAATTGAACCATCCCAATCTCGTTAGTTTGATAGAAGTTTTGGATGATCCTGAGGAAGATTCACTTTATATGGTTTTGGAAATGTGTAAGAAAGGCGTTGTCATGAAGGTTGGGCTTGGAGAGAAGGCAGATCCATATGACGTTGAAAGTTGCAGATGCTGGTTTAGAGATCTAATACTTGGCATTGAATATCGTGAGTACTCGCGGTAATATTCTGTATTGATACAATGGCTCACATCACGAAGTTCATGCTCAAGGCGTTGTGCACCGAGACATCAAGCCGGATAATCTACTTTTGACCGAAGACGACGTGCTGAAAGTTGTGGATTTTGGAGTTTCTGAGATGTTTGAAAAAGCTTCAGATATGATGACAGCCAAATCCACAGGGTCTCCGGCATTTTTACCTCCAGAATTGTGCGTAACGAAGCATGGCGATGTTTCCGGAAGGGCAGCTGACATATGGTCCATGGGAATCTCATTGTATTGTCTGCGCTTCGGTCACATACCTTTCGAACGGACCGGAGTACTTGAATTGTATGAGGCAATCAAGAATGACGAAGTTGACTATGAGCCGAGTACCGACCCTCAATTTGTCGATTTAATGAGAAGAATTCTAGAAAAAGATCCGAAAAAAAGAATTACTATGGATGAAATTCGCGTATGCTTCCCCTATACGTTTTACCGAATACGGCTGACATTTAGTAGGAACATCCCTGGGTGACTAATAATGGAACTGACCCATTACTACCAAAGGAAGAGAATATTGCCAATCTAGTTGAGCCGCCGAGTGAAATCGAGGTCAATCATGCAATAACTGCTAAAATGAGGGGTCTTCTCGCGGTCATGAAGGCTGTGAAGAAATTCAAGTCTAAAATGGAGCAGAGGAGACCTAATGCTATCTCTGAGACATTAGGGAAAGGTATTCGTGTTTTACACCCTTCTATGGGGATGACCGAGCAAAAAGAATCCACGCTTCATAGGTCCAAAAGCTCGGATCTCGAGGATAGACGTCTAGTTGAAGCAGCACTTGCCGCTGAAGGTGTACACCATGATGGAACATATCCATCGGCTGATGGTCCTAGGACTATGGCGAGCCGAATGGACTCTTCTAGTACAATTGTAGTGGATGAGGAGCCTATAGTCAAGAAAGTTCAATCACGTAGTATCGTGAAGACCGATTCATCCAATTCGATTGAAAAACGCCCAGAGTTTCGAGAACAGCAATCTGGTGACAAGGGACACGCTCACGATCCTTTGGACGAACAGCCTCTGTACCTAGGAATTGGTGCCGGGGTTGGGGAAGACGGCGATCCTCTAAATGAACCCGTACAAGAATTGATAGCTGAATCCCCTACAGCAGCCGATTTCAATATATACGATACTGCCTACCAACAAGAGGTCGATCGAATTCGTGCTGTCCAAGGGAACACCGCGACTGTCTATCTGACACGGAGAGTAGATCATAAAAAGGAATATAAAGCTGATCGTCACATGAAAAATCTCCCAAATCATACGGAGATGAAGGGTAGAATTCAAGAAGGATGGAAGGGGCTTGTAGATCGCGCCCAGGAATGCAGAGATGAACGTTCTCTTCATGAGAAACTCACAGAAGGCCATCAGGCTTTCTCCGAGTTGGTATCTAAGGCGGTGGAGAATACGAGGAATATCGGAAGAGATGTCAGTGAGAGGGAAGGGGCTACGTCTGAGAAGTAGTGCACAGGGCCATGTGGAAACTAAAGGAAAAGATCGAGGAAGGGAAAATATCATGACATAGATGGTCAAGTGAAGTTATTTATCTAGCAGGCGTACAACGTATGTTGGTAGTGACTTGTCAGATGGGTTGATACGATTCTCGAATACCATAATTTTGCAATACAAGATAACTGTTTTTATTATAGCTACGTCGAGAAGCTATGAGTATTGGATTTACAATGTTCTTCTAGATGTTGTCAAACGTGCCTACTTTCTGTTTATCGAATATTCTACTATGTATACTACGCATATTTCGACAGTTCAATTCCAGCATCGCCGCCTCTGCCTCCTGGTCAGTTTCTCACTACGTCCATCCTGCTAGTCCGCGCTTATACCCAATTTTACCCGAAGCGAATCGGGGCCTAGAATCGGGGGAGAAGTGCCCTTGTTGCTAGCTAATCTGGACGTTGTTATTGTATGACTTGATCTCAAGGATCTCGGTCTAATAATAAGTGTTTTCAGAACTAAACGGGTATTATCTTGTCGCGCCTACTAGTATATTTGGAATCTCACTGCCCGTACTTGGAATTTTTTCCAAATCCTCAATTCGGTTGGGTAATTCAGATACTGATTTCTCCTTTTTCATTACTATTGAGACTATTGCTTTCTCAAAACAGATGCAACACATGCAGATCTCCCCAGAGACGCGGATTGTTCAGATGCCAGTCGTAAAATCTAGAGGCCATCTCCATCTATATTGGGCAAAATGCCAGCAGCTTAGCGCTGTGAAAACACGACCTGGGCCGTTTTTAGCTACTTTCTTGCCAGGAGGCTGCAAAATATGTAGTGCTGAGCTCCGGGACTCCTTCAGAATCACCCCCTCGTCCTTGATCATACATTCAGGGAATGAATGCCGCAACATAATTGCATTTCCCTCCCATACTGCCCATCTCTGAAACTTTGCGTTCAATACTCCTATTCTTTGTCCAATATCACTCTGAATGTTCCCTTTTCCCCCTGACCAATCCAAATGCCCCGAACGCCAAATGCCAAATACTGGTATCATCAAAGTATACAAAGCAAATGATGCTCGCCAAATTCTTTTACTCCTCCTCTGTCATCTCACATATGATATCTCCTCAAATCTTCCCACGGCCATTCTAGAAAGGTGTTGGTTCTCTGGCCATCATTACCTAAATAGTACGCATCACTCCCTTGGATGAAGCCAACGCTGCTCTCGAAGTTCTGCATTCCACCCCAAAAAGCAAATGTAATGAGTACATCCACAAACAAGCTGTAAGAAGGCCGCCCGCCTAATCACTCGAAGCACAACCCCTGCATCCGCAACTAACGCATTGAATCTCTTGGTCCTCCTTCAGATCTGCCTTCGGGACCCGGCATATACAGGTAGAGTTAAAGTTTGTCTCTTTCGTTTGGACGCATTTAAGACAGCATAACTGTATCCAATTACACATTAGCAAATCACTCAAACGTGCATCCATCATACCCTCCACCAAGAATAAAACGTACCTTCTCGTAGCCCTCCTTCTTCCATTTTGCCACGAGCGTCGCATCACATTGACCGTTCTTCACACACCAGTCATATAGTTCCTTGCTGATCTTCTCTTCGCAGTACATATCCCAAACGTATCTACTTCGCTGGTGATTTATTTGTGTGATTTCCCAAGTGGCTTGATGACGGGGACCGGTGGATGGTGGGGCTGCAATGGCATCTTTCATTTTGTTGCTGTACACGAGGAGAGAATCTTCAATATCGCTGTAGCCATTTGGGGGAGCTTTGCGCTTGGAGGAGTGGCGGATGGCAGGCATGGTGACGGTGTTTATGTTGTAATTGTGGTAGTTGTGAGATTGGCAACAATTGTGGTGAGTTCTCGTGAAGTGTTGTGATGTATCCGGGAATAGAAAGTGAGGTCGTAGCTGTGTGAGTGTCAATAAGATTATATGATTCGTAGCGGGGTGAAGCAAGCAAGCAAGCTCTCATTCAAAAATTAATTCGTCAGCCTCGAGCTCCTAGCTAAAAATTAAGGTTTACCGTGTCCACGTGACATATTTTGATCGGTTGCTTCTATCAAGGAACCTCAACTTCTGGGGACTGAATGGAGATTAGATCACAACGAATCAGCGACAATGGTTATTAATCCTACTTATCTTGCGCAGCGGACGCGCCAGTGTAAGTTCACCTTCTTGTGGCCCATGGGCCATAGTGCTCTGTGTTTGACATAGAAGGAAGGCTAATTAATGCGGTAGCTGTTAACTGGACTGATGCGAAATCAAGAGTGTTGAAGAGCTATAGAGAATGGATCCGCGCTGTATGTTAGTTCTTTATCCGTTGAAAGGGCTGGAGAGAACGGCGGGCGTGTAGGGAGCATGGAAACTGATGGGTGTTGATGTAGGCTCCGGAAATCCAAACAATGTACTCTCTCGGCATGCCAGTTTCACAATTGAGGACGAAGATGCGGTCGGAGTTTGAGAGGCACAGATACGTGAACCATATTGGAACGGTGGACAAGCTATTGTATGAGAGCCATGCAGAATTCCAGGTATGTTCAAGAGGTTCGGAAATCATGTCTCCGGGTTGCGAGGGGACAAGATGAAAGAGGGGTTGCACGGAGCAGTGTATGCTATAGAGGGGGACCTGGCATGCGAGACAGGATCTTTGGCATCAGCAGCTATATGGAACACAATTAGGGGACATGGAATGCGATGGGTTACACATGAAGTCTATCTACTAACTTCGTGCTTTACAGGAGACTTTGAACTACTGGAAGCAACTTCCTCACATCTTGAAGTATTTCAGAGCAGAAGAAGACCCAACTGCAAGATTACCACAGAACTTCATGACAGGTTTCTTAGAGGTATGTCTACAATGTTGCTCTCATCTTCAATTCATTTCTGACCTCAATCAAAGGGACGCAATTAGAAGTTGGTATCTTTATTTTGTCGCTTTGTACATATCCCAATGAACCTCAATTGAACTCCATGAGATCCTTCCCTTTTATACGCCTTACCATTGCCGTGATATTTAAGTTATTGGCCCCAATACATTAAGTTGCTTACGACTCCATCTGAGAGGCATGCTGCTCCCGTGCTGCTGTGAATTTATCGGCAACCACATCACAAAGATCTATCAAATCATCTAACCCCTTTCTTAAAGCATCTTCAGCTGAATTGTCTATTTGTATTATTAGCCAGTCGTCTCTACACAATCTAGAACGGGCGATACTGACCATATGTTTGGATTCGAATGTTCATTAACTCTTCCGAAGGATGTGGTATCGAATAACCGCAGAACTCAACATCAGGACTGGAAAGGGAAGGATTAGTATAATTGAACCGATAAATTTGCAAGTTATCAGGAATCTGGCATACTTCTTCATGATGATGTATCTCAACGCATTCCCTAATGTGTGATCTTCTTTCTTAAACTCAAAAGATGCAGCCTTATCACTCGATCCAGGAAGCTGAATCCCACGAAGTTAGCAAACACTCTTAACTATACTGCTGCAATTCCCCTTGTGATTTCTGTGTGCTCTTACAATACGAAGTCTCTGTTCCTGGAACATCATCGCAGCGGGGTTGTGCGGATCTTCGCGCATGAGGGTTTCTCCTTCAGTTTCCGCTGGCACTTCCGCCATTGATACATCTTCTGCGGGCGCTGGTGCAGATGCCTCTACTTCCTTCTTTCGTGGTGCCATGATTAATTTGTTTGAGCGAGTGATATCGTGAGATAGATGGGCGGAAAGGAATGTCTAGCTAGTGAAGAACTGCAAGATTGATAATTTTGATAAATTTTATCAAAGGTCACGTGTAGATAAGAGATTTAATGCTTTTGCTTCATGCCTGAGGCCATTGCACATGTCACTTGGGACTTTGCGTGAAATCCAATTCCCCCATCTATTTCCCCTTACTACTTTCCATAACGTTTTCGCAGTTTTCTAGAACTTCTGTGGTCAATATAGAGGATTTGCATCCTGCTCTTCTCCTTTTCCAGAATTACCAATTCGGTCAAGTAATGTTTGAAAGTCCAATAGATTGTTTGTTTTTGATGATTTACTTCACATATGCAACTCCTGATAGGCTAAAAGAGCCAACCTTGACGCTCAGTGGCGGCAAATGAGCTTCAGCCGTTTAAAGGCCTCGGGCTTACATATGACCCGAGGAAAAGGTTAAGCTATAGAATAGGGGTTATCTCGATAATGACAAACGTTGTGCCAGCTGTGGGAACGTCATATATCTTATGGCCTTAGCTTAAGGGGGACGTTACTCTAGGCTGTTACACTCGCGCGCGGCAAAGGAAGATTAGGAAATCTTTGGTCGCCCGTTGGTAGGTTGGTCAAGGCTCACGTAGAGGGAAAAAATCGATAGTGCCAAATCTGGGGTATCTCTGCAATGTGCCGGAAACGATACGATACAGATTTTACTATTCGGAGAACTGGACAAATTCGACAATCGAATGTGTTCCAAGATGCCGTTGAGAACTTGGGGGCTTGTTCCACTACATACAGCACATAACAAACCTTGGAAGTCACCTGTTATGAGTACGAAACAGTATTGTGGCGCAGGATCAACGAATGGATTTCTCACGATTGCCTCATCTTCAGGTGAAGTCGCACACAGCCTTGCCACGAATAGATGCAGATGCCCCATGTCTCATGCCCCATTTTTGATCTGTTGAGTTGGAAACATCCCTCTATTTTTTCAGAAGATGAGACACGAATCGCGTATGATCATACCAGCGATCTTTTTTTCTCTTTATTTTATCTTACTTAACTTATTATTTCTTCTCCACGACGTGACGTGAGCTTCGTTCCCAAAGATTCCTTCTCTCCTCTTTAATCTTTCCAACGCGTCTCCTTCATGTGGGGAAGTTTGATTGGAGGGAGATGCTGAGCCGCGTTTCAAGGAAGATCATTCATGGAGCCATTTGGTTGGTTATTTTTTTGTGACCAGGGTATCAATTTGTCAAACGCAACCGTCGCAGTTCTAACAAGGATTCTTCGGACCATGTCCGCATGGACCACCTTCAATGGTAGGTGGACTCTGGACTCTGGACTCCAGGAGGGGCTCGCTGGCTTTTCCAAAGCTGGCTTCGGTCCTTACTTGCTTTAACTAGCTCTAAAAGTTCGTTGTTCGACGAATGATCATAGACTCGGGAGCTGTCAAACCTGAAAGCTGTCTATGTTGATGTGCATCTTATTGATCTCCGATTGGGAGTTGAAGAAGCCAAGTCAGCTTTCTTGTGTCACGTACATCTTTTGTGGCTCTTAGGTATTCAGATTTATACGTGCTTAGGAGAAATACGAGTCTACTAAAGAACGGGCAACCCGAAAATTAAACAATTATCACCACTGTATCCCAACTTGGAACAACCTTCCAATCGCTCAAGCTCACCGTCCATCAGAAGAATCATATATATTGTGTTGTCCGAAAGAAGAGGGGTTTGTGTTCACAGACCATGCTTATCCTCACAACACACGATTGATCGTCAGGGCTGCAAGCGAGAGTTATTGAACATCGAAAACATCTTACAAATCAGATCCTTTTGATGCAATTATCCATATGAATGTGATAGAGAGGGGCATTACAAGCAATATTCACATGCAAGATCTAACGATTTTCTCAAACTCGTGTGATGTATATTAAAAATTGGCCAGATCAGGACTATGCTTCATTTCACAAAATTATCATTGAAACGAAAGGGACGACCGATAAGCTAATGATAATGGTGTGCAATTTGGATAAAATTGATGCAGGACTAGCAAGGGTTTCACTAGGGCACTATGAAATATTGAATTTACAGATCCTGCAGATCAGGTCTACAAGGGTTGAAACCCAAAAGCATGGAAAACGATCTCTGGAGTTTTGAACGACGAGAAATCTTTGGAGAGGCTTGGGCGATTTAGAAGACGAGAATAACACAGTTTCTTCTACTTTGCCTTCGCTCTTCAAGATTGAGCTGAAACTTTCCAACGGCAATTCTTACATCAAGCATGTCTTATATTCATTGGCAGAGAAAGTGATGGCCAAGACATTTGGGATTTGATTCATGTTTGATAGCCGACCACATCCACCAGTCAGACACCAGCTGCCAGATCTAATCTACTATTTTCTCCTAGAACTTCCCTATTTATCCGACTCCCGCCAGGTACTAGGTACCGCACACTCTGCCTTGAGTTGAATCTAAAACAATAGTTGATTTTCATGAAGTCCAAGCTTCTCTTGAGCTTCATTTCCTGAAAATACATTGAACTTCGTGGGTAAACGGTGGAGTAAATTGCATGATTGACCATGGAGGAAAATCTCCTATGGCAACATGTAAGTTATTGCCATCGTTATATCTGAAATGTCCCAATATCACCTAGTTACTCATATATTGACAACCGCATATCGTAATGTATACGAATCCATCCTTCATCCCATCCCAAGTTATGACCTCAATGGCCTCCCGCTCTCAAGCATTGATATTCAACTTAAATCAAATCCTTAAATATCAGATCAAACGAACCAAAGCAGGCATAGAAACAAAGGCGTCAGAAGTTGTGTTGCTGAATGGAAATATAATTTGGATCTTCATCAAATCCCCAATCCCTCCCTCCATAATAAAACTTTATACATCTCCAATTTTGTATTCCTTGGAGATTCCTTCATACTGAATTTCCAATCCACTTGCTCACAAAATCTACTCGTACAGAGTATCCGAGTTTCCCATGTTTACGTCTTCGAATGCGTACGCAAGGGCCCGTTGCATTCCAAAATACGTGAGACTGGTGACTTGACTGGAACATATAATTTCCCCTCCATTTCATCCGACGCCTTTCCTTCATCTTCATCTCCATGCATCTATCACGATTTCAACCCCTCTCCTACCCTCCTTTTTCATGTGAGAAGCCCAAACTTCCAGTGTCGGACTACGGGGTATATAATTAAAATCGACACGAGTTGGAAGTGACGCATTGACACTTGACCGGGGATCCTTCAGTGATATTTTATACTGCTGGACGGAATGCTACTCTATTGTCCCGGGGAAAGGGTTTGCAGTAATCTTCAAGTCCGGTATCAACATCTATCATCGACGTTGACCCTCCATCTCTCTGCTGTACTGTGTCCAAGATGTCGTCTTGAACATCGCGCTCCTTGTTTCTGTCAACCTTTTCCATATCCATATAAATCCGCACCTCGGATGCGCATGTAACTCGCTCGTATCACGCACGCATTATCGAGCACCCATTGAATCCATTACCAACAGCCATGTCAAACAATCAAACAGCCATACAGCCGAAGAACCTTGAACAAACAGCCTTGATAGCCAATGAATCCATTCCCACCCTGCTCTCTAACCCAAGTAGTATTAGAGCACCAGTGCACCCACCATCACTCATTGCTTAGCACTAGCACCCGGTGTTTGAACCTCGTTCTTTCTTTTTCTTTTTTTGTGATCGACCTACTTGACCACTTTAAGAGGGTGGAGGTAATACTCTTTTCGTCTCCTCCATGATCGAATCCAATTAAACGGATTAATTTCAGAGTTGCAGAGTTATGAGAGGGAAGAACCGAGAGGGTTGGTTTTTGTGTTCAATATAGAATGAAGATGTTATTGTTATTATATGGATGATGATAACTGATACAAGTGATATGAATGATATGAGTGATATGAGTATTATGAGTATTATGAGTATTATGAGTATTATGAGTATTATGAGTATTATGAGTGACATGAGATTATATCAATATCCGTCTTGGTCTAGGGACTTATTACTACAGATGATATATATCCATACCTTGTATATATAAATGTAATACTCGACGGAGCAATAAGCATATAGGATCCCGCTAAGAGTCTCAAGAGTTCTTAACTGACCTACTTATCCTGTATACGAAATAACCTGAAACACACCCACCTAAGAAACCTCGATTACCTCGATTACCTCGAAAGCCTGGCAAAAGCCTCGATTCCAATCAAAATTCATAAAACCTCACCGCCACCCATAAAGACCGATTCTGACCCTTCTCAAACTGACTGACTGACTGACTGCTGCGACTGCGACTGCGACCTCTCGTTTCTTTATGAAGGTGAACCCCTCTCTGATCGGATCTGTTATTACTTCTTCTCCTCCTCCTTCTTCTTCTCTTCTTCCTTTTTACCACTTCAGGATACTTCCCAGAGTCCTGTGTAGTTTTTGTTATCGATTTATTTATAACAACTACAAAAGTACTTTTTCCATCTCACCAGCCAGTATACGAGTAGCTATCAATCAATCAATCACCACTATCATATCTGATAAGCTTCCGTCCCATTTACATTCCCATCCTCAACTACAACTACAACTACAACTTCAACTACAACACGAGAAGTACCCATCAACATCTTCTTCGCAATAGCATACCAGTCTCGTACCGTCTGTTACAAGTTGATTCATTCGAAGACGAAACGAAATCTAAGCCTCAAATCCTTTTTTTTTTCTATTTAAACGCATAACTATTATCAAAGCCACCGCAAGAAAAGGACTAGGGATACCTGGAATATACGCATTGCCTTTCATCCATCATTTACTACGTACGTACTTGGTAAAAGGTCAAAACTCGAGTCAAACCACCATTCGGCTCAACATTCTCAACATCCACCATTAAGTAAACACAACATCTCACCCTACTCTTTATCCTGTAGTTTGTCGACTGTGTACTTTGATACATCGGAGAGAACTATCATAATCAAATTCTACGCTGAATCTGTGGAAATACGCCGACCGACGGACGCACGAATCCGAATCTTGAAAGATACGGAAAGAGGGAGAGTACAAGAATCGGAAGGGAAAAGGGAAAGAAAAGACATTTACGACTGCACCACATCACATCAACAAGTAAAGTGTGCATTCATTCTTGAATCCTTCCTCTATACATTGCGAAGCGTACAGAGTCATTCAAGACTTCTGCTTACAGGCGGATTGATTGGAGACAAGGAAGCGAGAAAGCTCCCTCATTTTCAAACATCAGCAAGTTTCACCATCTCCCACATTGAACCTTCTCTTTTTTTCTCCTCTTCTATCATACAATTTGCATACACTTTGTATACCTCAATCACAATGAGTACGGCTATTGCAATGGCCCCTTCACCGGTACCTCACGATAGATCATCATATGTTGATATCGCTCCTTCAAAACCCTCGAATTCTCCTCCGGCGCAAAGAATACCTTCTACATCGGCCACACCGAGCGTAACAATGGCGGCACAGCGTACAGGGAGCGGAAGTCCAAAATCAACTTCAGCAAAACCTTCACCTACTGCGTATGTATATTATTCCTTGAATTAAATTATTTATCGATAAATTAAATCAATAATACTGATGTCATAATTTTAACAGATCTCGAAACGGTGCACCACCTAAGATTATCGTTAAGAAGGAACCATCCTCACCTGAAATAACTGCCACTTCGCGTCATAGACCTCGAAAGCTTGATCTCACCAAAAACACCTCGAGCGTCAATCCAGGTACTGGAAGACCATCAGCCAGTCAATTGACAGGTAGGGGTGCGGAGAGCGGTGGATTGGGTATTCAGGACGTCGGATTGGCATGCCTCTCGCCAGGTTTCGTCACACAAGATCCGACGATGCGAGAACAATTGCAGCGAAGTTTATCTGTCCGTGAACAACAGAGACATATTATCGAATCGCGGTTACAACAAACAGCTAAGCCTGGTGATGCGCCAATGGAAAGTGCTAAAGAAAGAGAGTTGAGTGGATTGCCAGCAAAAACCCCAGGTACATCAAGAAGAAAGGCGCCGCCAGGACTAAGCATTGTCGCACCATCCCATGAGCAATTTGCCAATGAGAGAGTAATTCAATCTGCTCCAATGCACCACAGCTTTCCTGGCAGACATCAACCACAACCTCTAACCCGCCACGTCGCAAATCAACCGTCAAATCTCTCCAACACATCTCACATCCATCATGTACCTGCTACCCAAACCACCAACAGACTACCACCAATTTCAGATGTCTTCGCAGCTGAAAATCTAGGTGCACACCGTGAATCGCCAAGAGGAAACGTGTACCAAAATTCGAACTCGAATTCTAATTCATCGCATTCCAACTCCAGACCAGGTTTCCCATCCCCAGGACATACTTCACAGCCACCAGCGTCTGCGGGCCATCAGCGTCCTCGCGAATACCGTTCTGCTGAGGAAGCACAGGCTGATCTGGCTGGTGGTCGTGCTGAACTTCTACCTAAGCTCGTACATTACGGAGGTCATCAACCCCCCACTCCTCCATCACCCACAAATGTCAACGCGAGACCTTCAGAAGCTGGTCGAAGCAGCGGTAGAAGAAGACCTAGAGCAGAGTATGAAGAGGGAGCTAGTCCGCCACTTGGACAAGGTCCACCAACATCAAGACGAACTGGACCATTTGGAGAGGGACGAGATAGTCCAATGACTTCACAACAGAAGAAGGAAGAGTTCATGCGCCTGTGTAATCGGGCTTGGGATCTTTTCCATTCTTAGCTGTTTGTTGTCATGTCTCTCTTTTTCTTCTTTCCTTTTGTCTATCAAACAAATAATGCTATAACCGGAGCTTCACTTTTACTTCTGGGAAAGGCAATACTCTTTTTGCGATTTATGATGACAGGGCATGTTGTACGTGCCTGTCGGTATACTTTCTTGAGCCATTATGATCGACCGAATGATTTCTTTTTACTGCTTCATATGATTGATGCGTTGATTCATGGTTATAATGGACACAATTATATTTAATTCGCTAGGGTGATTGGGGGTGGTGTGAAATGGAGGGATTTGTGGGTGAACGGATGGGTGGTTAGGGAAAAGGGAATGGCATACAATGATTTTCCATGATTTTTCGGCAACCTTTGAAGGTTGAGGAGGTGGATGGGGAATGGGGAATGGGAATAGAAAAGGAAGGAAAGGGAAATAAGGATAGGAGGAGATGTTTGCAGAAAAGGAATGGATTCTGTTCTATATTCAATTCAATGAAAGAACTCTCTAATAATTTTCACTTCTTCGCTTCGTGCTACTTGAGTTGTGTGTTTTTTCTTGTGTGTGGGTTTCCTTTCGCAGGAGTGATTGAAGTATAGTATAGTACAGTACAGCATAGTATATTGATGAGTGCGTGTATCTAGCTGGTGAGATAGAGAGTGGAAAATAGTATTGGGCTTGTAGTTTTCCAGATGGGAGTGAGAGGTCAAAGGGCAAGGGTGTTTGTTATAAATTGAATGGTTGGTGACTTTTGATAGGTGTGTGTATTGGAATTGGAATTGGGACTGGGATTGGGATTGGGATTGGGATTTGAGGGGTTAGCTAGTAGATGAGAAGAGAGAGAATAAGAGGAGACAAAAGAAATAAAAGAAATAAAAGGATAAGAGTGGGGGAGGGGGGAGGGGGGTCGTAGAAGATTTTATATTGTATTGTGTTATATTATATGGTATGGTATGGTATGGTATACCATTTTTTGTCTTTTATCTATATCTACATGTGAGTATTACAATAACTACAAGTACCTATATAAGAACTATAGACGAGAAGAGTAGTCACTTACTCGTAACTATATAACTATGTAACCATGTAACCATGTAACTATATTTATATGTTTGGGTTATCTTCATCAGGCGAGAGTGTATATGTACTGTACTGTACTGTACTTACTTGTAAGCTAATGGAGGGAAAGGAATAGGGAAGGGAAGGGAAGGGAAGGAAGAAAGAACGAAAGATACTTAGAGGAGAGAAAGGGGGTCAAGGGAAAATAAATGCGCGATATTTATAAGGGGTTCCCGATTAATATCTTGCATGTTTGGATTTGAGCATATCACATCATATCATATCATACCACCAACACGAACACGGATAAAAGATGCGCATAAACTCATTTAATCTTTCTTTGCTTTTTTCATTCTCTCTTTATTCACATTCTCTATCTTCCTCTTCATTTAATTCGATCCGATTCCTACACAAACAAGATCCCTTTCACCTATCCATTCATCCCTCCTTGACCCATCTCCAGATCCGCATTCTCATCATTTATCTACAATCTTCCAATATCACCTTCCCTTTCCCATCTACGTATCCCTCAAATCGTAATCCCCTTCATCATTCCGAACCTTCAAAACACAAGTACCACCTTCCTTTTCAACCAGCCATCCATCCCATCCTCTACCAAAAAAAAACAGAGCCTCGCACAACCATATAAGTATCAAAAAGCCACAGCCAAGAATCGCAAGCTATTTTTACTCGTGCATACCTCCATCTCCGATCCATCAAAAGCAAGACTACTCATGAACCAGAGCCAGGCCAAACCCAAAGCAAATACTCCCAGCCCATAGCTCTCTCTTTCTCTTTAAGAATAAAAGGTTGTAATTGTCCAAAAAAGGGTCAAAGAAGAAGAAGAAGAAGATAAACAACGACTGTAAGATGTAAAGTCTTGATTGTATCATGGGTACTCGTAAAAGGAAGATCCCTTTCTGTATCGTTTGCTCCCCCAATTCGCCATTCATAAGAAGTCGAAAAAAAAAGACCCATGGCTCAAAATGAATAAAAAGTGTGCATCAAGGCTTCAAAAAAGCAGAGCAACCAGGGTCGTAAAGAAGAAGGAAATTTGCTGTGCTGCTTATTATAAAGATCTCCCCAAACGCCATACTGTTGCTGTAATGTAATGCTCATGCGAAATATGCCACCCTTCATTGCGCAATGCTCATGTTGAAGAGACACCTGTGTCGTCTTTCAATTCTTTATATGCTCCCATACCAGTAGGGTCGTAATAACAAATGAAACCACATTCTTGACAATTGAAGCTGCTGGTCGAGCGGAATTTATGTTCGATTCTACATGGCTTGAGGTCTCGTTGAAGATTTGCCTGTTCGATCATGCTCTTGAACATGCTTTTTCTGCATGTAATCCCACTATCCAGCACATAATGTCAGAGTCCTTCCTCACCTGCTTGACAGAGTTTTATCTCACGACCCCATTCGGACTTGAGAACTTGTGAAGCAGTGATACGACGGTGAGGATTTGGATCCAGTATCGAGTAAATGACATTACGACAACGTGCCTTTATTCATGTTAGCTCATACAGATATAAGAATTGTAGGAGGGAGACATACTCGATGTAATGACTCGATGGGAGCATATCCCTCCTCATCCCTTCGACCTTCTAAATACTTCTCATAGAACTCATCTTCATCTCTCTTCGCGACTCGCCAAAGGTGACGTCCTGTGCGCATTGCCATGTAAATGACACCTGTAGCCCAAACGTCAACAGCTCTTGCGTCGAATTCTTTGTCAATGTACTCTTCTGGAGCGATGTAAGGAGCGGAACCACACAATCCAGTTACCATGTGTGCGTCCTTCTCCCAAGCCATTCGAAAGCATTCGCCGTTCCCAAAATCTGTTATCTTCAAAGAACCGTGTGTGGTCAAAAGAAGATTTTCTGGTTTTAAATCTCGATGCGCAACTCCCATCTCGTGCATGTATTCGACGCCACGCATCATCTGTTTGAAGTAACAGTCCGCTTCCACAACTTCAAGCTTTCCGGCGGCGAGCACCAAAGTGTAAAGATCACCACCTGCACAGAATTCCATGACTTCACAATAGTCCCCCTTCGAGTCTTGAAGGAGGTCAAGGGTATGGATGACATTAGGGTGTCGTAACGAGGACGATATACAGAATTCGGAAGTGAGTCTCTTGCTGTACTTTCTTTCGTTCTCTTCGGGTCTTCTTCGGAATTCCTTCACAGCGTAAAGCTGCTCGGTTCCCTGTTCGGACCTCTTGTGGGATATCCTGACAATTCCGAAAGCACCCCGACCAATAACTTCATTACATTTCCCGTATTTATCTACCAATGTTGCCGTCGCATTGGGCCCACCCTTCTTCTCTGTAGCCAGTGATTCTTTCTCACGCTTCAGTTGATCCACCCAGTTTGACATGAGTGAAAGTTGTTGTTCGCCTTCATGGGTTTCGGATTGTTTCGCCTTCCCACTAATTAAGCCGCGCAGCATTTCCCCAAGTTTCTCTTGTCTCTTGGCACTCTTCAGATGATGCTCGTGGCCCCCTTGCACATCAGGCATGGTAAGAAATCGCTGATGGTTTGCCGGTGCCTTTTTGTCTTTTGTTGAACCATTTTTATCCTTTGTACTCGGTGTGGCACTCGATTTGTCGGATGGACTCTTCTTCTCTTGTGATGATGTCTTTCGGGACAGAGAGCCAGGTCTCGAAGATGATTTGGGAGATGTTGTGCCATCCACAACCTTTGGCGTCGAGGAACCAGAGGCGGCACTAGATGTAAGGTTGCTTTCTGACCGTATCGGTTCCTTTGTAGAAAACATTCGAGTTAGACGTTTCGTCATGGAAGGTTTCTCGGCCGTCGTTGGCATAGGGGCTGCCTTGAGAACCGCAGGAGGAGGAGGTGTAATAGTTCCATTCATAGTTCCATTCATGCTTAGATTTTCGGTGCTTGTGATGGCGCTCACATTGGAGGTTGTAGGTCGAGATTGAGGAGATCCATGTGAGGACGAGGGTAAAGAAGGCGTAGGAGAGGGTTGTGCCTTCTCAGCAAAATCTCTTGGGACTGCGACCGACGCCATGATGACTTTGCTTTCTTGAAGAATTTGAGATGCGCTTTCGTATCGGTTGCAATCAGTAAAAAGATATCCGCCAAAGGCGGAGGTCGCGGGCAATGCCCGTGCTTTGTTGGAAATTTGTGTTTTTATTCTGTGGGCGTGTGGGTTGTGTGGGTGTGGGACGTATGCGGAATAAGATTGAACAGTGGGAATTCCGGTTTTTTTTTAATTATAAATCGAAATGAAGCAGCGTATCAATTATGGAAGTGAATATAGCTGGACTTTCTTGGGTTGATTGCTGGTTGCCTTTGGGGGAAATCGAAGGTATGATTGGAACTGCTTTGATATGTTCTCTTTGAAAGGCGAGTACCAAATGAAGTTGGAAGAAAGTAAGTGATGCTGAGGTGGGATGAAGTAAAGTCGTAATCTCCAATTATACGAGATGGAGATGGAGATGGAGATGGAGATGGAAATTGAAATTATTTGGCTTTTCCCTTGGATTTCTCTGCCACACACCAAAAAAGCTTATGTGAGTTTCCCGGATTGATATAGTGCTACGATAGAGTCTAGGAGATATCAAGACTAGTATATGTTGTATCGGGACCCGGTCGTATGAGTATCCGGATTCCTTTTTGAGAGAAGGGCTGTGGTGCTCTTGAAGTCGGTTGGTACGAAGAGGTAAGAAGGAGAAGTCAGATAAGTTGGATGTGGGAGCAGGAGGTGAGGTAGATCTAGTTGTGGTTGTAATTGTGGTTGTAAATGTGGTTTAAGTGGAAGTGGAAGTGGAAGTTGTAATGGAAGTGGTTGTAACTAAGTACTACCACCAATGTATGTATGATATAATAATACTTGGGATTTTCGATGGTTGCGGATTGAGTACAAGTTAAAGCAAGAAAGTAAGTACACACAGCCTTGCTTGGAAACAATTTATAATTAATA